GCAGATGGACACTATGGTTGTAAATGTAAGTGGCACATAAAGGTAGATGCTATTTTGGGAGAGCCTTCTTTGGAGACGGTTTTGCTAGACACCTGAACCAACGTTCTCTGTTCTATAGTGTGGGAATAGATTGGAATGGCTGAGGGAAACTGAAAAGGGGAGGGGGTAGGTAAAGAATAGAAACGGAGGCTTGCATGTGGTGTAAGACATGTAGGAAATATCAGTGTTTAGTATGTGAAGCTTTGCCAATCTACCTTATTTGCCAATTTATTTTTTATTTAGGGGAGTCACCTCTCCAGTCTTGCTCAAGGTGGCTTACAGGACTATAACATCATAAAAACATAATAAATAATCAATATTTTAAAACAAGCAGGGGTAATAAAAGCAGCACAAAAACACTGAGCACCCACCCTGACCTCAATAGCCCAGGCAAGCCCGATCTCGTCAGATCTCGGAAGCTAAGGAGGAGGGCTGACCCCGGCAAGTATTTGGATGGGAAACCTCCAAAGAATACCAGGGCCAGAAGGCAGAGGCAGGCTACCAAGCCATCTCTGAACATCCTCCATGTCCCAGTAGGAGTTGCCAGAGGTCGCTATGATTTCCAGGCACAGGTGCACATGTACACACACATACAATGCAAAAACCCAGGTGCACATGTACACCCAAAACCACTGAGCACCCTTAAAATATCCATAAAACAGAAGTCAGATCAGAAGCAGACCATAGCTCGGCTCCTGACATTACGGTGGGCATCAGGTGAGCATCAAGGGGGAGAGTATTCCACAGTTGCCATCCACCTTGCCTCTGAAGGTGAGGGCACAGAGAACAGGCTTATGGGACAGATCTTTGTGCATGTTGGGGAAAAAACATTGCATAACTGCAAGCATAAACTTTCCAGTTAGCAATGCTTACTTCATTGCTGATTGTAAAGGATATGATGTATGGCTTAGTACGCCAACATATCCACAGCATTCTATGAACACATAAAACTATCAAAGTCAGACCACTGGCCTATATACCTCAAGTATTGCCTACTCTGGATGTGGGTCTCCAAAACCTCAGAGAGCTTTAGAGTATGGCACAAGATGAGTTCGCATCCCCAGTGAATCATGGGTAATATTGGGCCTGTTGCACTTTTTGCTTAACCTACCTCATAGGGTCGCTATGCATGTTTTTGCCTTGAAGTCACACCTGATTTACAGCAATCCCATATGATTTTCAAGGCAAGAGAAGTTCAGAGGTGGTTTGCCATTGCCTGCCTCTGCATAGCGATCCTAGTACTCCTTGGTAGTCTCCCATCCAAATACTAACCAGAGCCAACCCCGCTTAGCTTCTGAGATCTGATGAGATTGGGCTAATCTGTGCTATCCAAGTCAGGGCCACAGGATTGCTAGGAGGGTAAAATGTAAGCGAGAACCATGGATGCCACACTGAGTTCCAAGGTAGGGTAAAATGATAACCACACTAGATCCTGTGAAAGGTATTCTTCACCACTGACTGGCACCCCCCAGCAGGCCACTGTAGCTTTGGCATTGCAGATATTTATCTGTAGGGAGCTGGAGGATAAACAGATGTCACATGAGTGTTTTGTCCCTTTCAGTTCTCCTGGCATCACCTTTAGACTCACCACAATGTATATCAATGTAGTTATAGCCAATGCTCCCTCTAAGCTGTGGAGTCTTGTGAGCCAAAATTCTACCTGGTGAGCTACTGACATTAAAGCTGTGAGCGAGTGATTTGGCTACTGCATAAATTAGTTTGCTCTGGAGCCCTCCTTCCTGAGCTAAGACAAAAATGTGTGAGCCGAAGGCTAAAAAACTGTGAGCCAGCTCACACTAACTTGGCTTAGAGGGAACATTGGTTATAGCAACATCTCTCTACACATCTACTACAATGCAACATTTCCAAACATAGTTAAAAATAGTTATGTATCCAATATACACATTCTGTGTATTCAATATGCACATTAGCTATTAGCTTTGAACTCATCATGAATTTATAATGCTGAATAAGTTGTCCATATGAGGACTTTGCTCACCCCAAGGATAAAAGGCAGCAGGGTCTGCAGACTAGGAGCATTGGCAGTAAGTTCTGAGTCTGCATGTTTGTTCAGAAACAGATTTCACCAAACTCCCTACTTCTCTCCCAAGTAAACATAGACTAAAACAGAACTGCTGTAGAGACAAGCATTCAAATCAGTGGCATTATATCTAACCACACCGTTCAAGGCTTAAGGGTGCTTAAATCTCTGGAAGAGTTGGTGTGGATTTCCACTTCCCTATGCCCACTGAAGGGCCCCTGCTTTGCTCCCTTAGATGTTCCTGAGGGTCTGCTGACCTCAAGGAACAAAATTTCAGGGGGTGCAGTAAAAGCTAGAAACAGGAAAAGTCCCACTATGTGAGGTCTTCAGATCATAGGATACATTCAAAAAGTGGTATGCTTGTTATCCTTTCACCTGTTAAAATGCTCAGCTTAGTTTTTTTAAAAGAACTGGTACCATAAAACATCAATATCTTTATTTTACTAAGTCTTAAAATTTTCTAATTTTCACTACTTCGTAGTGTTAAACCTCTTCTCCAAAGAATATGTCCCCCTGCTCGTAAGAAGTTATACACAGTTTTAAAGTAATAACACAAAGACCTCACACACACTTTACAAGACACTGAAAGGCACAAGGGCAGTATCGAGCTACAGAAACATTTAATGCATAGCATATATGTAATAGCCTGGTTAGTATCTGCAACTATGATGTGAGCGGTGTTCTTTAAAAATATTGGTTAGATGAAGACATATAACACCCCTCTACTCCCTTTCCCTTTCTTGTGAGAATGGGAGAGTCATGCTTACACTAAAGACATTTTTTTAATTCTGTAAGGTCACATTTTTGTCTTGCCCTTCCATGACTTTGTGTAGTGCATTGTTTGGTCTATAGACAAAGGCAATGGGTTCCTCTCCCAGTTCTCCAAGTTGTTCCAATGAAGAAACGCATGGATTATGATCTTTCAGCATATTTGGTAGCTTGCATTCTTTCCCTTGTAGGCGCCGAGAACGTCTCACCGGAGTTAGAAGTTTCAGATCTTTAACAGCAGACTCGCTATTTTCACGCATCAGTTTTTTCTTCATACTTGGGAATCAAGAAGACATGGTCATATTACATAAAATGAATGCAAGACTATGACAAAACATTTTATTTGGAACCCTTATCGATCTGAGATGCCTCCTCTGCACTATACCCAGAGGGACAGACATTCCAGCCTACCCAGATCTTGTCACTAATATAAGGGGAGAGGAACACTTCCTTCTACAGCTTTTATAGATGTCATCACCAATCCTGATTGGCTTGGAGGGATCACCTCAACAAGAGGCATAGGAACTTCTATAGACATTGGTAAGTCAAGTAATTTTTTTTCAAGAAATTTTTTATTAATTTTATAAAGATTATAACAAAAAGAAAAATCCAGTTTGATCCTTGTGTATATAAGCTCCAATTATTGTTTTAAATCTTGCTACCAGGGTTGAAGTAAATATTTTGTAATCAATATTGAGTAATGATATGGATCAAAAAGATTTGGGGTCAGTAGTGTCTTTTCCTTTCTTTGAATTAATATTATATTTGCCGCTTTCCATGTTTCGGGTAGTATTCCTGTTTTTAGAATCTCATTACAAGTATCAGTAAGTGGTTTGGCTTACAAATGAGCAAATGATTTATAGTATTCCGCTATGTAGCCATCTGGGCCAGGTGCTTTATTTGATTTTAGAGTTTTAATTGCATTTTCAATTTCTTGGCAGTTTATTGGCTCTCCCAGATGATGGTGACGTTCTTCAGTAAGTTTCTGAAGCCCTTTAATAGAGACTAAATATTTATGGATGTCTGATATTTCTGGCTTACTGGAGGAGTATAATGAAGTATAAAAGGATTTCAGCTGTTGTGGATTTCATAATACCTTGTGAATCTCTGATATTAGCTATGAAGCGTTCTTGTCGTCTTTTAAGTTGCCATGCTAGAAATTTGAGTTTTCTAGGGCTATTTGTTGTAGCTATTTGGTGTATGTTGAAGTTAGATTTCCTTATCCTCAGACATTGGTAAGTCAAGTAATAGAATACTGGCCTATATCCAATCAGCAGCACATGAAACAAACTTTCCCCATGTTCTTTTCTGTTCCTGCATCCCCCCCTTCCAACCCCACCCCACAAGTTCATTCCTGGGGTCACATGACCTACCCAGAGAAATAATGACCGCTCCTCTGTTGGGAAGAGGCAATTTCTTCTGCTTTTCCTGCCTCACCTTAGCAGCCCAATGTGCACAGGTATTCTTGTGTGGGTTCTAAAACTGTATTTCTAGGGGTTGGAAGGAGCAGAATGCTAGAAAACTGTGGGCCTTTGGCACATGGATGGATACGTACAAGCCACTATTAACAGCATATACTCCTGAAATTACAGCTTACCTTTCCAAGGAGGGAGTAGTTGATATATTATACTTAATCAAGTATGACCCTGGGTTGTCATTTTCTGGGGTTTTAAACTCCAGGATTCCATCCTTCTGTGTCTCATTCTGCTCTTTTTTATACACTGCAGGCTTTTGGTCTGACTCTTTAATCCTGTGCTGTTCATCATCCAGAACGCTCTCCTCTTCAGGCTTCAAACGTGCTTCTGCTTTCAAGGGAGTCTCTCCATCGCTAGGTTTCACCTCGCTCTTTGGCTGGACTTCTACATTCTCCTCATCTACTTCTTTCTTTCTGCATTCTCCTAGAAAATTACACACATGCATTATTTGGGGCAACAAGGAATTTTTCCCCAATGAAAAATGGGATTTATGACTCAAATTGGTGAAAGACTGTTGTATTGGATACAATACCCCCTTTGATACTCGCATCATGTTCAACCAGCGTGGGCAGGAATGAAAGTGGCTGCTGCTTGAAAATTTCAACATGTAATCATTTAAAAGAAAATTGCTATAGAATGATGTATAGATGGTATATGACGCCCAAAAAGATTGCCATGATGAGTGATAATATGTCTAACAGATGTTGGAAATGTAAAAAAGCAGAATGTTCCTTTTATCATATGTGGTGGACTTGTGATAGAGCTGTGAACGTTTGGACGGAGGTCCATAATGAAATGCAGAAAATTTTGAAATGTTCTTTCAAAAAAGAACCAGAAGTATTACTTTTGGGTCTTAAAATGGAAGAAGTGAATGTAACAAAGAGAACATTATTATGGTATTTGATTACAACGGCCAGAATGACATATGCTCAATGTTGGAAGCAAGAAAGAATACCTGAACTATGGGAATGGATAAGGAAGCTACTCTGTATGGCCGAAATGGATAAAATGACAAGAAAGTTGAACAATAAAGAAGATGAAGAATTTTTTGCGGATTGGAAGGACTTTAAAGAATATATAGAGAAACATTGGGATGTCAAAATAAACTTTTTTGCTTTAGTAATTATTAAGAATAGACTTTAGAAATGTTGGAAAGAAATTGTTATCAAATAGGTTACCTATGAGACTGAAAAAATATAAGTAAGGTAGTAAAAGAAATTGTGAACCTTTAAATAACTGAAGGGAAAGATTAAGAGAGGAAATGTGGTGGGGGTGGGAACGCTGTGGGAAGCCTGGAGAAGGGGTGTGAGGGAAAAGGGATGTATTAAGAAATGGTGAACTGGTTAATTTTGGACTTTTAAAAGGGTCCCCCCCCCTCAAAAGAGAAGCGGAAAGAAGGGAGGAGGGGAAAAAAACCGTATCTGAAAGACTTTTTAAGCGCAGGAGGGGGGCGACGCAGGAAATCAAATAAGCGTTTTACCTTCTGGGCGGGAAAGAGAGTGGAGATCTGGGAGCCATCCCGGAGGAGTGCAGCTAGAACTTCCAAAAAGTAAACAAAGTTGTAATATGGCGACGTCGAGAAAGCTAACAGAGAAACAGCCCAAGAAGACAGGCGGGACTTCCTGTCCTAGCCCCTCTACTGCTGGAGCTGCTGCCAATCAACCAGACAGTGATCTTGCACGCCATCTGCTGGCAGAACTGCAAAAAATTAACAAAAAACTCGATTCCATGGAGGATGCTTTTGGGTTACAGCAAAAGAAAATGACAGAGACAGCAGAGAAGGTGGATGACATTGCAAAGAAATGTCTGGCATCAGCAGAAGAAGTACAGAAAGTTAAGAAGAAGGTCTTGAAAGTTGAAAAACATCAAGAAAGACAAGATAATAAAGTGCTAATGCTTCAGATGGAAAAATCAAACCTAATTCTCCGTTTCCAGGGATTGAGAGAGGAAGAGGGTGAGGACCTTAGAGACATTTTGGCAAGTGCACTGGCACCACTGATTGGCAACGAAGCGGAAAAAATAAAAGAAGAGATGGATTTGGCCTATCGGGCCTACTCCAATTTCACAAGATAAAACAAGTTGCCAGCAGAAGTGGTGGTGAAATTCATAAAACAGCGTCTCAGGGGCAAGATTTTAAAGGTTACATCAGCCTCACCCCTGAAAATTGGTGATCAACAGATCAAGATTTTGAAAGATGTTCCATTTGAAATCAGAATGAAAAGAAAGGAATACAAAGGACTGACCACTTTCTTACAAAAACACCAAACGAATTATAAATGGTTGGTGCCCGAAGGACTGTTTTTCAAGTTCAAGGATAAAAGAGAAAAAATAGACTCCATCTTCAAAGCTCAAGACTTCTTGAAAAAGCACGCCAGTAAAGAAGAAGGTGCAGAACTAGCCAAATGGATGTCGACGTTAAGCGTAGAAGACAGCAGCTCGGAGGGAGAGGTGAAGGACGAGGAAGAAAGAGGAGCGACGAGTTCAAAATATAACCTGAGAGGGAAAAATGGGAAGAATCCCAAAGTTTAAAAGTTGTTTATCTTTTTCGCTTTTTAATGGACTTTATTTTGGAAGAGAAAACTGATACCAGAAGGACAATACTAATATATTAATTGCCTTGTTTAAAAATAATAGAAGAAAAGAAGAAGCTTCGACGATGGAAAAAATTATAGATGCTCTGATTTGACTTCAAAAAGTTTAACAAATTAACATAATACTAACACCACTCACTTCTTTTCATTGTCTCTCTGTATACCCTCCCTTATTTCTAATTTTAAGCAAAATACCTCCCCTCTTTAGGGGAGCAAATGAAGCATTTTTTTAAAAAAAGAAATGGTGAACTGGTTAATTTTGGACTTGTTTTAATAAAAAGAAAGAAAGTGGCTGCCGCTTGGGGGGGGGCAGGCAAAGAAGGGAAGGACAGGAGAGCATAGCAGAGCAAAGCTGAGAGGGAAGGGGGGGTGCTGGTAGGAGCCACTGCAAGCCAGAAAAGAAGGCAGTGTTGCCAAGTTACCACCTTATAGAGTATCTATAATTATGGACTATGACTGTAGAGCTGGACTGTGCTAACAGTGTGCCAGGGCAATGGACTGAACTGAAGCCATGCGACTAGGCTACTCTACCGGACTGTTGGCATGTGCCCCAAGTGAGGGAAACCTTGCTCTGGAGCAAATGTGCTTAACCAGATGTGGACCCCCAGATGTGGACCCACGGAAGACCTGATGCCTCTTGCTCCTGCAGCCCAATATTAGAAGGCAGGCCAGTCTCCTTGACCCTGTAAACGCATGAAGCCAGCAGCAGCTCATTGAAGAGAAGCCTTGCTCTGTGAACACGGTTCTTCACAGATGCCATAGAAAGCTCTTCCTTCCATCACACAGGCACTTCCACCGGCCACCTCTGCATATTGACATCTCCTGGTGTAGCATGTACTCAGCTTCCACTTAAACAAAAGAACTGATTCCATGACAGGATTAAGCTGCTGTCACGTCCATCAACACAGGTGTTGATCGTCGAGACTATTGTCAATGGAGCCGGGCCATTACTATTCTTCCCTTTGTCTCTCTCTGAGGTGTCACCATTAGTTGAACATTATTACAATTGCCCAACAATTAATCCTATTCTCCTAGCCATTAGTAACTGGATTTTTCTAGCACTTCCTGGGGACTACGTGACTGGTGAAGCATCCCCCTCCCAGTCATTTTAGAGTATAAAAAGAGAGCATCTCCCCATTGCTCTCTCTCTCACTTCCTACCTTCTTAACCCCACTCTACCTTTGCTGACTCCATTCTTAGCACTGTTTGGAATCTTCCAGGTGCGTTGCTGGCCAACACACAATCCCCTTCCCTTAGTGCTCCCCTCTTTTTCACTGCAGGATCATCTCATCGCATCAGACAGGTAAGGTATCGCCCCCATCAACGATACTTTCCTGCTAATGCAACTGTCATTGTACCTTTCTTTCTAGATTCTTTGTTCTGTATTGTTTGAGTGTGTGATTGTTTTGTTTTATTTTTATATCGTATATGTGTGAATTATTTAGTAAAAGAACTCACTATCATTTCAGATCTAGTCTTGGTGTATTTCTGTGGATCTGGAGAAGTTGGACTCCTGTATACACAGGTTAAAAGGTAAAGGTTCCCTTGCTCGAAAGCCAGTCGAATCCGACTCTAGGGCTGCGGTGCTCATCTCCGTTTCAAAGCCGAAGAGCCAGCGCTGTCCGAAGACGTTTCCGTGGTCATGTGGCCGGCATGACTAAACACCAAGGCGCACGGAACGCTGTTACCTTCCCACCGAACTGGTCCCTATTTATCTACTTCCAATTTCTTGCTTTCGAACTGCTAGGTTGGCAGGAGCTGGAACTAGAGATGGGAGCTCACTCCATCATGCAGCACCCGGGTCTCGAACTGCTGAACTACTGACCTTCCACAGCCTGCAGTTCAGCGTCTTAACCACTTGAGCCACCGCAGCTCCTGTATACACAGGTTATTGGTCCCTTAATTAAAGCCATTACCATTTAAATATTCAAATTCCCCTATTTTATTAAGAAATAAGGCAATTTGGCTTACAGCAGGCAGACAAGGTGACAGCAGCCAGGAGGAGGAAATGACAGCACTGGTCTTTCTTTTTCTCATTGCTCCTGCAAGGGAGGAGAAATGTCCCATTAATGGTGGACACGAGGAGGTGCTGCTGCTGCTTTCTTCCTTCCTCCTCTGCTGCTCGAGCCACCATCAGAGAGCTACCACCCGGTGGGCAAGCAGCAGGCACGTAGCCAGAATTTTTTCGGGGTGGGGAGAGGGGGCAGTAAGTGCCGGCTGGGGATGGGTGGAGTTGGCCTCACTGGCATACTTTCCCTCCCTCCCTGGCTCTTGCTCTCTTCCTCATTCCCCTTTTCTGTGTTTCTCTCCATTAGGATTGGCTAAACAGTGCAATCTGGCAACTCTGGTTCTGCAACACTTATGTCACACTTGAAGGAGTCATATAAATCTGCTAGAAAAACCCATCTACGCGCAGGCTCCAGCTCCACCAAAGCCATGGAGCGCGGCAGACAAGCCCAGCGTTTTTAAACAGCTTCAGAATAAACTGCTTTCCTGGGAGGCAAACCGGTGAGGCAAACTCCTGCCCCTTAAGAGGGCATTTCTGTCCATCCACAGCTGCCTGGGCCAGAGTACAAGGTGAGCTTGGTAGAAAGGGGGAGCTGTCGGCCCCATGGGGGCTCCTTTGCGCCCCTCTGGCCAAATCGCTCCCCAGCCGACTGTGGGAAGAGCTACCAGAGGGGCACCCCGACGCAGGGAAGGTGTCATGGTGCACCAGCCTGCCTGGCACCTGGGCTTCAGCACCCCCCTACAGGTCACCTGCTGGGCCCTGCTGCCACGCTTGTGCCCTGCCCTGCCCCTCAAGGCACCCTGCTCGAAGTCATTGTAGAAGGACTTGTCCAGCAAGTGCCACTATTTACTTAGGCTATTATTAAGAGGTTTTATCTTATCAGCTGTTTAATGGCCTCCTTCTGTTTTGTGGATAGTTCTTATGCTTCTTATCCACATCTTATGTGGATAGTTTATGTCCAATGGCTTGTCTTTAATGGTTTGTTTGCTATATTGTGGTGATCTTAATTGTAAGCTGCCTTGAGCAGGACTCTCAAGAGGAAATACAGAAATATCCTAAATAATAAACAAACTAGAAATAAACATGCTTACCGTCAGATTTGGGTAGATTTTTTATATCTTTCAAGACATCCGTTAACGTACTACGTAACTCATCCTTAGGCTGAAAGAAACACAGACCTGTTAGTAGTAGATCAATTCAAATACAGTTTCTTGCTTTGTGTTTCAGCTTTTACATTGTAAGAGATACCGAGACATCACAATATCTAAATACATCCTTGGGTTTTAAAAAAATTAACACCTCATTTACAAGACTTCTCAAAATCCACTTATAATAAAATGGAGCAGTGATAAAGCAGAAGCTACACAGCAGTGAGGACGGCATACCTGTGCTCCTGCCAAAATGGCTTCCTCGTAGACAGCCATGACCTTTTCAAGAGTACCCAATTGTTCAAGACGCATTCGGCATACCCAATACTTCGCAAGCTTCTTTGCATCTGGAACGCTCCGTATCAGTTCTTCCAAAGTGGAATGTATCTTATCAGACGAGTAACCCTGAGGAAGGGTGTAAGATATTAAGGAAGAGACAAGAGTATTTGTTAGCTACATATTAAGCCCCATGTACCCCTCAACAGGAATTCTAGAGGAGCATCTGTTGGACTAAATGCAGCAAAGTATCTTCTGCCACCTTACAGGCAACCTAGTTTTTGTGGCATAAGCTTTCCATGTGCCCACTTCTGTCAGATGCCCGGCTCTCTGCCACTATTCAACATGCAATGCAAGAGCTGAGCCACACACCCCACCCCTGAGCGATCTTGTTTAGCATAAGATTCAAGAGACAGGACTTTTATAAAGCTCATGACAGGGTGAGAAAACTCTCTCTTCAGGTTTTCTATGATACACAGAAATTAGGGGTGTGCACACAAAAAATGGGGGGGGGGTTTTCCAGGTATATTGGACCCCCAAAATTTGGGATTCTCAAAAACATTTGAATCCCAATATCTGTATGGTACTCGGGGGTTTTCAGAAATCCTATTTTCCCCCATTTCCATTATACCCTATGGGATTATTATAATCAATGGGAAATCTATCTGGGGGTATCCAGGGGTTGGGGGGATGTTTTTTGAGGTAAAGGCACCAAAGTTTCATAAACATTGGACCCGGGGGTCCAATTCTATGGGCCCCCAAAGAAGGTGGGGGGAAAACACAGCAAAAACACTGGTGTCAAACCAGTCTCTGCAGTAGAAACTGAAGGGGGGGGGGGATTTTTCCAAGATCAGCAAAACCAGTGCATGTGCAGAGTACCCAGCAGAATCAGTGCCACACTGGCAATGCCAGTTCAACAGATCGAATCGGTGTGTGTGTGCAAGCACAACATAGACAGTGCCCAGCAGAACCAGTGCATGTACAGAGTGCCCAAAGAAGGTTCCCACATTGAAAACAATGGAGGGGAAAAGACAGCATTTAAGGGAAGACACTGGATTTTGCTGGGCGCTAGTACATTGCACTGGTACTGCTTGGCACTCTGTATACGCACTGGCTATGCTGGGTTTGGACCCCCCCCCCCGCTTGGATTTGTTGAGCTAGCATTGCAACAGTGTCACTGGTTCTGCTGGGCACTTTGTGAATGCACTGTCTGTGCTGTGCTTGCACGCACACACACCCAACTTGGAAATATTGAACTGGCATTACCACAGTGGCACTGTTCTGCTGGGCACTCCATACATGGCTTGCAACCCTCCCACTTGGATTTATAGAGCTGACATTGCCACAGTGGCACTGTTCTGCTGGGCACTCTGTACATGGGACTAGCTGAATGAACGAATTGAATTTATTACAGCGCATAGCCAGCAATATAAAACCATACCTACAAATATTTATCATATAAATAGATTACAATGTCTAAAATATCCAGATGGTAAAACTATTTGTGTAAAATTATACAAGCATTTTAAACTCTAAAACCAGAAATACGGTGTAAAAAAGGACAAAATGTTAGTCTTTAAAAAATAAAATAATGAGAATAAAAAGATCAATTAGATTAAAAACAAACAGTCCTAACCCAAGTGGCTGCCTGAACACTGATGAGCTTTTATAACCAAAAAACAAAATTTCGCTATCTGGTGTAGCGCTATATGATCGGAATTTGAAAGCAATTTCTCTATCTTATCCTGATTTGAGGAGCCAACCAACGCTATCTGGTGTAGCGCTATATGATCAGAATTTATAAGCAATTTCTCTATCTTATCCTGATCCGAGGAGCCAACCAAGAGAGGACCAATAAGTTTTGTGCGAGCTTCGTTATATAATGGACATCTTAGGAACACATGTTCCTGGGATTCTATCTCCCCAGACGCACACATGCATAGCCTCTCATTTCGGGGAGTTTTCTTGAATTTGCCCTCAAGAACTGAAGAAGGTAAAGCAGAGCATCTAGCCAGCGTATACGCCCTCCTAAGTTTATTTGACTCCAGAACGGATAAGAATGGGGCTTGAGCAACCATATATTTACTACTGTATGGCGCTAAAAAGGCAGGGGTCGCCTGTACGTCCAGTTGGCGTTCGATGTCTTCAATCCTCTGCCTGACCACTAGCTTAGCTTGAAAGCCACCCCTTTCCAAAAGCTCTTGGGGGGAAAACCCTAGTAGTGTAATT